GCTTCGTTCCCCCTCTCCCCGTTTAAACCGCTCTTAATGATTTGTTATATCTATATTTTTTTTTCCCGCAGCTGCTCACTCTCGTTTGCCCGTTTGTACGAAGCCGCTTTAAATCCTCGGCAGGAAGAATAAAAGTTGGAGGCGGTGGGGCGGGTTCCGCCAGAGCTGCGGGAGGGTGCGGGTCCGCTCGGTCCCCGCATCCCTCCCCCCCGCTTCACCGCCCCAGCCCCCCCGGATCAGCGAGAAAAGGAGCTAATTCCGGGGTGTAACTGCGGGGGGGGACCCCTCGGCGCTGGGGAACTGAGCTGCTCTATTTGCTTTGCTATAAACCGACGGGAATATTTTATGGCGGAGGGAAAGGGTACAGCGCGAAAAGGAAATATGACAGTAAATCTCTCTCTTTTTTTTTTTTATGGATGCTCTCTAGCAGCAAAACCGCAAAGATTCAACGGTTTTACGACTCAACTGTTCCGCAGGTACCTCTGAAGGTGCCTACGCAGGAAAGAACACCCTGTGTCCCCCTCCCCACCCCAGCCCCTCCCGATCAGAGACACCCAGCTCTGTGTGTCCCCCCCTTGTCCCAGTTCAACCCCGAAACTCCCAGTGAGTGCCCTGGGAGCCGCGCTGGCACAGGAGAGGCTGCAGGGAGAGGCTGTGGATATTGATGGTGCCCCTGGCACTCCCCTTCCATAGGTCCTGGTCCTCAGAACCGCGGGTGAGGAGCAGTGTCCCACCACTGCCTCCTCACCAGCACTTCGGGAGAGTTCCTTTCTAGTTGCTCCAAAACTATTAACGTTTGAGATCCTCTATCCTCCCGCGGAGCTAAATTACAGCTTTAGTTTCACAGGGCCGGTTTATTCAGAGATTTTCGCATGCTCAAATACAGACAGGTACTTCCAGGGGAGGATTTCGAAGTGGGAAAGGGTCTAACGCTCCTTGCCATGAGTGCAGGCTCAGCATATAAATCCCGGGGAGGATTTAAAACCCTGGATACTTCTGGAAACCAAAACACCCAGCTCTCTGCATCTCAATACCTTTTAAAAATCTGCTTCATGGAAAATATATTTTTTTTCCAGCGTCCTGTTCCACTGTGAAACAGTCTTCTTACTTCCTAAAAGTTTTGTTCAGCGTCTAAGGTGCTGGGGGTGTTTTGTTATCTGCCTCCATGCCTTGTTTTGGTCCTTTCTTATTATCAGGTCCTGATACTGTGTCCCCTGAGCACCCAAATCCGGGTTTGGGTCGGTTGGAGCGTGGGGAATAGCTGGTGGCTCTGGGGGTTTGCTGCTGGGCTGTGGTGGTTTGGAAATGCAGGGTTTGGAAGAATTGCTTCCCGGATGATCTCCCAGAGCAGAGCTCATCCTTTCCCATCTCAGCTCACAGACAGGCGTGTGGCACGGCTCTGGAAGCCACCAGTCACCGGGATGCTCTAGCAGAAAGCAGGAGCAGCACGCGCAGTTAAACACATTATTTCAAACATAAGTCCTTTCAGTTAAAAATTGTCTTATATATTGCTAAATGAAAGCCACACTGCCTTTTCCTTCTATTTTTTTTTTTTTTAAATAGAACAGGCAAGTGGATTCAGAGCCCTAGCTTTTGTTAAGAAAGGTTGAAGAACCATCTGCAGTTCAAATATCTGATCATGTATAGAACAGCACTCTGTAGAACAGAGATCATGTATTGAACAACACCTATAAAATCCATCCGTGCAAAAAAGAAAAGGTGACAGAACCTCGCAGGAGCAGATCCCAGCAGTACAAGTTGTGCTTCTATTACATGTATGTGTTTTTATATGTTTTCTGTTACGTCTGTATATATAGCTATCTGCATGAATACAGGTTTTGCACGTGCCTAGTGTTAAGGGAAGCTGTTTGTCCCTGCTGGAGCTGGCTCATATGCCGTTACCAGAATTGCACAGGAAGGCAGAGCACAGCACAGGCTGATTTTACTCAATTTCTTGCTATTTTGGTATTGCAAAAGGCACCGTGAGCAGTGCTTTACAGCCAGGGACCTCTTCTCTGGAGTGCAGCCCACAGGAGAGATGGAGGAAAAGCATCAATCTGTGCTTACCTGGGGGCTGGGGGCTGCGCCCTCGGTGCCCCAGAGCCCACCAAAGGCTTCCCCTGGCTCCCTCCGTGGACCAGTCATAAAGAAGTGTCCTAGCCTGTAAAAAGGCTGCGTGCCCGCTCCGTACGATCCCTGCTCACACATCTGGGCTGCATGTGTGGAGAAGTCAAGGCACACACCGCAAACAATTTTACATGTGCAATTTTCCAAGCATGGGTCTATGGGTTCGAAAAAGCGGCATATCTACGGTGCAGAAAAGTGACATTCTTCTGCACAGGAGGGCATTTTTCAGTGACTTCCAGAGGGAAAAAAAAAACAAACATGCAGTCATTATTCTTGGTAGCACAGTTAGTAGCAGCTCGTTTCTCCTGGTGGCTCCCGAATTTTCCCCAAACCCACCAAGATGGAGCGTTGCTCCCAAACAGCAACTTGCACACGGCAATCAGAATATTTCAGATATTCACTTCTATAGGCTGATGTTATTAAAATTAAAAACATCTGCTTGGAGGAATGCAGATTTTTCTGGATGTAAATGCGTCTGCACTCCCACAGTCAGTTCAGCTGCTCGGGGAGAGAAAACGTGATTGGGAAGAGTCGTTGCGTTGTTGGACACGGTGGCAAACGGAGCGATGCCGCCCTAGATGTTGTTGTGGTTCCACCAACACTCGGAGTTGGATAATGGCTCTAAAGGCTCTCGGCTGGGAACACTTTCCTGATATCTCTCTAGGTAAAGGATTCCCATCGTGTGCTGCCTCCCACCCCCTGCTCCGGGCAGAGCTTCTCCCTCCCACCGCCCCCAAAGAGAGGAGTTAGTGGCTGTGATGAGTTTCGTAGCCCTTGTCCATTATCAGCTCCCTGATTGACCCCCCGCCACCCACACATCCAATACCATCACCTCATCCCCATCAGAGGCACCACCGGCCAGAAACTCCTCCCGCCTCACAAAAATCATCAGGAAAAACTTCACTACTCGTGTTAGCCTCTCTTACGCTGCGCGCGGCTGCTTAGGAGTGACTAATTACGTGTATTGATGAGGAACACACTGATTGCTGTGCTAGTGCCATGAAGCTGCACTGAGGTGCTGTGGTATGTCCATGGGACATGGCGTAGCTTTTGCCACTCGGGTTGGGGCTAAATAGAGAAAAAGAAGTTGCAAATGGGAAGTATTGGTCCTGCTGACATGGGAATACAGGAAAATGGGAGATAATCCATAGGAGGACGTTGCCCTAAAGCAGAGGGAGGTGAGAAAGCATGTGGTGACACAGGAGGGGGTACAGTGCTACCCAGAAGTGAATGGTGGAAGAAGTTAAAGTCCTTTTCTTATTCTGATGCCTTACAAACCTGCCACTGGGTAAATCTGGGTGTTTCAGAAATGATGTCTAAATGGAAATTTAGACAAAACCGGGCATTAGTGTAAGTAGGTAAAAAACCCCACCTTGCTGCCCACGTGTCTTTTGGAAAAGAGTGTGATACATCCAAATACTTTTCGGTACTGGTAGAAATTGGTCCTTCTTTTGGCTTGTAGGCAAGAGAGTTTGGAGACAGGTTCTCTCCCAAGTGAGCTGGAAGAGCTCCAGGCCACCTGAGATCCCCATTGCCACCTCCACCTTCCCACAGCTGCTGGCAACGGGAAACCTGCTCTTTGTGGGGTGGGTGGATCCTGTGAAGCTATAAATAACACAAAATCAGGACTTTACATTCTAATATTGTTTAAATCCTGTATAAGTTGATGAACACGCACACAGGAATTTGAAAAAAACAGGATTTAGTAATTTCCTCCCAGTATTTACATCTAAAACCACGTTAACCAGTGTTCTAGTTCAAAAGAAACACTGGGATCTGGCAGGATTAGCGATATTTGAGAGCCATCCAGCTCTTGAAAAACTGTCTGATTCTGCTTCCTGGGGGTTCTGAGGGAGCGTGGCCCCTGTGGAGGCAGGTGTCCTCGCTCCAGCTGGCCACGGGGACCTTCACCCAGCAACGTTCACAGGCAGCCCTTCAGATCTCCCTCCCCGAAGAAATGTAAACTATGTGGGCCTTCAGAACTGGGGATTAAAATAACGAGGAAAAAAAAGTAAAATCCATTCATTACATCTGACTCGGAGGAAACGCTTAAAGAAG